TGAAAGTGTGTACATTTAACAGTTTATTACTGAGTTCCGTTGATTTAAAAAAAATGTTATTTGATTGTGAGGTATGTGTGGAAAATTTGTGTATAATTTAAATTAAAAATAACAAGTTCTCACAATTGTCATTCAGTGAAAAGATTAAAATTGTGTCTAAAGGTCTGTAACTATCACTCACTTGGATAAGATATTTGAGGTGGCCGAAATCTTGCGTTTATTTACATTAGGATATAGTAATCTCAAGTAACCTTAACCTTGAATATGTGAATATCAGAAAATTGAAGATGACCAGGTGAGTAGTTATAATATTTTAGCTTATTATTTTACTTATTAGAATTTCCTCCGCCGCGATCTATCGCAGTTTTGTCAGTGTTCCCGTTGAAGATGTACATGAATAGTAGTACATCTAAGACTTTTTCTGTTGGCATGGTTTCCGACTTAGAGATACATCGCGTGGCTGTGCCTAAGCTAAAAATCTATAAAAGAAAAAGTTTTTGTGACCGACTACTCTGCCGCATACCTAGTGTCATAATCCTGTGCACGCCGCTGGGAGCAAGCTGGGTTTCGGAGCGGATATGGCACCATAGACCACATCCACACAGTGCGGCAGATTATACAGAAGACCGAATAATATAATCAGCCAGGCAGACTATGAGAAAGCCTTTGACTCGATCGAGATCTGGTCTGTTCTGGAGTCCCTGCAGCGTTGCCAAGTAGATTGGCGATACATCCAAGTGAAGAGATGTCTCTACAAAGCCGCCACCATGTCCGTCCAAGTACAGAATCAGCAAACAAGGTCCTTACCATTGCATCGAGGAGTGAGACGTTATTTCCCCGAAATTGTTCACAAAATAAAATGATAACTGGCAAAAATAATTGTTGAAAATTCTCATTTTTTTATGTCTGTTTTTTTCGTGTCTTCGACTACCCCTAACCTCTTAAGTTTTCGTGTAGTAGGTAATGTAGGTAGGTACTTTTTATTGATTATCCATAAACTAATTAAACGAAACATGACGTCAGGTGATAAAAAATTGTCTACAATGAAGTAAAAACACAGCATTTGTAGGAAAGTTTTCAACCGTTTAAAACTATTTATTTGGGGTTTAAAACGTGTGCGTTACCCCAGCAAAATAATGTCGAAAATGGTCATTTAAACTTTATAGATAATTAGTTGCTCCCCTTCTGTAATTGTTAGGCACATTTTTAAATTTGTTTCACTTAAACTTTTTTAGTTATTTCAAAAAAACATTTCCTGCTGGGGTAACGTTTGAAACGTTACCGCAGCCAGACATTTTCTTTTTTAATTGTAATATTGAAATAAATTTTAGCTAAATAATTAGTTATCTGGACTAGGTAAATGTTACAACTTATTTGGTATTTGTATTTTCTTCGGCTGCGAAGTTATTCGAAATCCTGCTGGAGTAACGTTTGTGGGTTTGCTGGATCTCTGAAACGGGTAAGCGGATTGTAACCATCTTTTTACATAACTTCTTAAGGATTAGTTTTAATTTGTTTGACAATAAAATAACAAAAATAATGGACCGTTTAAAAATTATTTAGGTAAGTATGAAAACACTTCAATACGTCCTAACACTTTGAATAAGACCTCTAAAGACTTACTACAAACGTTATTCTATTGCTTGTAACTACCTTCAAATGTATACGAATTTTCGTAAGAATACTGTAAGTGACTAAAAAGTTATGATGAAATGTAGCTCTCCACGTTCACGATCACAATGTGTGCGGCCTTTTCTGGCCACCGATAAACCTGTGTGTGGATATATAGACTGAATGTTATGCCAATAATTAGTTGTTTAGTTCAGTTGTCTACCTGTAAAATTTCAGCGTCGTACATATAATAATTTACGAGATAATTAAATAAAAGTCATTAGAAGGTGCAAGACCGTGGTAACCCGACCATGTTTAGGTGGTTACAAAAAAGCGATCACCCAGTACATTGTGCTGGCTTTTAAAATATGTAGGATATTACTTGCAAGTTTACTACGGATATGTAAGTGTTACAAAAAACTACATGTTTTTTAAATATTTTTTATTTAGGATTGTTTATTGCATAATTAGTAATCAGCCGGGAGATTAGGTATTGTTTTGAATGCTTTTGTTTTCTCGTAATGTTTAGGTGAATTGTTTATAGTTGTTCATAGAATTGGTACCTGCGTAGTATTTGTTAATTGAAGTTTAATTTTAGGGTAGGTATAGGTAATTTAAGTTTTGAAGAGTGTAACGTATGCGTTGTAAATAGGTATTTTGTGAATAGATGGGGATTTTTTTAAGTGATGAATCGACTTATTTCTGTAATAATGTTGGAGAAAATAAAATATTTGATCACAAAATCGCGGTGAGTTAAATTATAATAAATAAATTATTTATGTAAAATTAGTAATAAGTGATATACCTACCTACAAGTTATGATCGTTTTTAATTTGTTCACCCTTTTTTTTTTTTTTTTTTTCTGTCGGAAATCCCCTGTCGGTGGCATGTCGGACTAATTTGTTCACCATGAACTAAATTTCAATATTAGCATTAGTAATTAATATCCTAAGACAAGAATTGTCAATTATTAAATTGAATCGAATTAGCATTAATGCCCATTATTAGTAATTAGGTACACACATATTGAAGAACTCTCAAGAATACGATAAATATTTACAAAAATAGAAAGCGGAAGCGCACACGTACTTTACAACACGTATATTATCTGCCTAAGGGTCAAGTTTAGTGCACTAGATGCAAATTGCAAACAATGAAGTATCCCTTCGCCCCTCCCCTCCCGCGTTCTAGCGAAAGATGTATTATCAGCGATTCTTGATTGACAAATATTATCTGACCAATAATTTTATCTATAAAAATGTATCACTTTCACTCGATAAATTAAATTACCGTTATTATATCAAAATATCATTCAACAACTGTTCGTTTTTAACAGAAATCAACAGTCACGGGCTCAACGCTTAACGGTAGGTACATAGGTATAGATAATTCTCGGTTTTCGGTATAGACCACAGAACAATATTACCTACTCTTACGAGGTATACTACTGTTGGGCGATGCAATGTTGATGCATTCTAATTTACAACTGTATTCTTCTACTATTCGGTCTATTTTAACTTATTGTAGATGACTTGTTGCTTTAAATATTTTGATGCATTCAATTCTAAGCTCTATATACCCCAAAATAAAATACAATTACTTTAGTGTTATTTCTTTACTAAAAAAATCAAAGAAATGAAACGATTTCTTATTGGTTTAAATTTTCGATTTATTGCAGTCAGGTGAATCGTTCATACATGTATCTACATATTTATAATTTTAGCGGACCAGTGCAGATTTTCTGTTGATTGTAGCTCCGGTAGTAAAAAAGACTAAAGAAATTTTTAGTAAAGAAACTAGTGCTTAAGATCAATTAGGGAAAAAAACAAAAATAATAGGTAATAATAATGAATAAATATTGAATGTATTTAACACTGCACGCAACTGTACCGAAATCGTAAGGTGTATTACACTAAACATTTTAAAAGACAGCGCAATGTACTGGGTGATCGCTTTTTTGTAACCACCTAAACATGGTCGGATTACCACGGACTTGCACCTTCTAATGACTTTTATTTAATTATCTCGTAAATTATTATATGTACGACGCTGAAATTTTACAGGTAGACAACTGAACTAAACAACTAATTATTGGCATAACATTCAGTTTATATATCCACACACAGGTTTATCGGTGGCCAAAAAAGGCCGCACACATTGTGATCGTGAACGTGGAGAGCTACATTTCATCATAAGTTTTTAGTCACTTACAGTATTCTTACGAAAATTCGTATACATTTGAAGGTAGTTACAAGCAATAGAATAACGTTTCAAGTAAGTCTTTAGAGGTCTTATTTAAAGTGTTAGGACGTATTGAAGTGTTTTCAGACTTACCTAAATAATTTTTAAACGGTCCATTATTATTGTTATTTTATTGTCGAACAAATTAAAACTAATCCTTAAGAAGTTATGTACAAAAGATGGTTACAATCCGCTTACCCGTTTCAGAGATCCAGCAAACCCACAAACGTTACTCCAGCAGGATTTCGAATAACTTCGCACCCGAAGAAAATACAAATACCAAATAAGTTGTAACATTTACCTAGTCCAGATAACTAATTATTTAGCTAAAATTTATTTCAATATTACAATTAAAAAAGAAAATGTCTGGCTGCGGTAACGTTTCAAACGTTACCCCAGCAGGAAATGTTTTTTTGAAATAACTAAAAAAGTTTAAGTGAAACAAATTTAAAAATGTGCTTAACAATTACAGAAGGGGAGCAACTAATTATCTATAAAGTTTAAATGACCATTTTCGACATTATTTTGCTGGGGTAACGCACACCAACTTAACGTCTTGAAATTTCGTTGTTAGTTAATTATTTAAATACCACTAAATACTAACCAATGTGTACTAAATGCTTAAAAAACTTTGAAAGTCAACTTTTGATCGTTTCAGCCTTCCTTGGATCTTCTGCGAAAATAAATACTTCAACTCTAATTTTTTTCTTACTATTATTTAGGTATGCGGAATATCAATTACTTCCCTGGTTTTGTCCTAACCCATAAAAACCTGCCTACGCCCATGACAAATCTTTCGAGTGATTTCAGACAAAGATTTCGTTGATCGGTCGACGCAATGCAAAATTTCCAGTGAACTTACGTATCAATAAATAGAGAAAAATTACAATCTTAGACAAATTTCTTGAGCGTTTGCACACTTGTGACGCGATCATCTCGAGCGCTAATTAAAACCCACGCGGAATGACAAAAACAGTTAGGTACGTTATAAATATAATTTATTTACATTAAACTAATAATCATAATCTCACACGGAGCTCACCGGCAAGTACAAAAGTTCTATCAAACATTCGTCACTCTAGCACACGCGCGACGCGCCAGTCAGTCTTCTCGTGTCCCGAACCGCCCCAGCACCAGCAGCCCTGCGCCTACAACTCGGTGTGCTCGTCGGCGTCGAGCTCCTGCGGCTCGTCCTGGCCGTCCTCGGCCGCCTCGTCCAGCGGCTCGTCCTCGGGCACGGCGTCCGGCGCCACGCCCAGGAGGCCCTGCAGCATGCGTTCCACCGAGTCGGCGAATTCCATCGCCTGGCCCTCCTGCAGCATATAGCCCGACCTGTGGGAAAGAGGAATCCGTCACGAACCGTCCCTTACGTCCTTCCGTACGGCCGTGCCCGCCTGCGCCGCGGGAAAATAAAAAGCGAGGAGACGAGAGTATAGACGCGTGGACGGACGGACTACCTGATGGCGGCGGTGCGGTAGAGCGTGTTCGCGGCGAGCGCGGTGTCCTTGTGCTCGGGGTCGTCCTGCACGCGCCGCAGTAGCTCCACGATGAGGGGGTGGCGAGGGTTAATCTCCATCATCTTCTTCTGCGTCAGGTGATGCTTGCGCTGTGCGTCATCCGCCTGTAACACATGTACGCGTTTAAAGCTAGAGTGTTTGGCGCGTTGGAGAGGCGCTCCATGTTGGCGGTCCAGCCGAAGGCGGTGGGAGAGTCCCGGGTACGGTACACTCACCTTCTGGTGCGCGTTGGAGAGTGCGAGGCGCTCCATGTTGCCGGTCCAGCCGAAGGCGGTGGGAGAGTCCCGGGTACGGTACACTCACCTTCTGGTGCGCGTTGGAGAGTGCGAGGCGCTCCATGTTGCCGGTCCAGCCGAAGGCGGTGGGAGAGTCCCGGGTACGGTACACTCACCTTCTGGTGCGCGTTGGAGAGTGCGAGGCGCTCCATGTTGCCGGTCCAGCCGAAGGCGGTGGGAGAGTCCCGGGTACGGTACACTCACCTTCTGGTGCGCGTTGGAGAGTGCGAGGCGCTCCATGTTGCCGGTCCAGCCGAAGGCGGTGGGAGAGTCCCGGGTACGGTACACTCACCTTCTGGTGCGCGTTGGAGAGTGCGAGGCGCTCCATGTTGCCGGTCCAGCCGAAGGCGGTGGGAGAGTCCCGGGTACGGTACACTCACCTTCTGGTGCGCGTTGGAGAGTGCGAGGCGCTCCATGTTGCCGGTCCAGCCGAAGGCGGTGGGAGAGTCCCGGGTACGGTACACTCACCTTCTGGTGCGCGTTGGAGAGTGCGAGGCGCTCCATGTTGCCGGTCCAGCCGAAGGCGGTGGGAGAGTCCCGGGTACGGTACACTCACCTTCTGGTGCGCGTTGGAGAGTGCGAGGCGCTCCATGTTGCCGGTCCAGCCGAAGGCGGTGGGAGAGTCCCGGGTACGGTACACTCACCTTCTGGTGCGCGTTGGAGAGTGCGAGGCGCTCCATGTTGCCGGTCCAGCCGAAGGCGGTGGGAGAGTCCCGGGTACGGTACACTCACCTTCTGGTGCGCGTTGGAGAGTGCGAGGCGCTCCATGTTGCCGGTCCAGCCGAAGGCGGTGGGAGAGTCCCGGGTACGGTACACTCACCTTCTGGTGCGCGTTGGAGAGTGCGAGGCGCTCCATGTTGCCGGTCCAGCCGAAGGCGGTGGGAGAGTCCCGGGTACGGTACACTCACCTTCTGGTGCGCGTTGGAGAGTGCGAGGCGCTCCATGTTGCCGGTCCAGCCGAAGGCGGTGGGAGAGTCCCGGGTACGGTACACTCACCTTCTGGTGCGCGTTGGAGAGTGCGAGGCGCTCCATGTTGCCGGTCCAGCCGAAGGCGGTGGGAGAGTCCCGGGTACGGTACACTCACCTTCTGGTGCGCGTTGGAGAGTGCGAGGCGCTCCATGTTGCCGGTCCAGCCGAAGGCGGTGGGAGAGTCCCGGGTACGGTACACTCACCTTCTGGTGCGCGTTGGAGAGTGCGAGGCGCTCCATGTTGCCGGTCCAGCCGAAGGCGGTGGGAGAGTCCCGGGTACGGTACACTCACCTTCTGGTGCGCGTTGGAGAGTGCGAGGCGCTCCATGTTGCCGGTCCAGCCGAAGGCGGTGGCGGCGAGGGCGGCGGGCGAGCGCGACAAGCGCCGCGACACGGTGCAGCGCGTGATGAAGTCGCCCAGCTTGTTGCTGAGCCACGTCGTCAGCGGCTCGAACTGCTTCTTGTACGCCTCCATGCGCTCCTGCTCTTGCTCGTCTGTTACACCACAACGAACATCGGTTAATCCGAACGAAAATCACTGTTACTAAAGTGTACTATAAATGTGACCTAATAAGTGAACAATTCATTAACAACTGATTAAAATTCAATGTTAAAAACAAAAGCAAATTACTAGTATCGTCTGTTCGATCTATTACGATATAGGATTCCGTCGTCTTAAAGCAACACTTAAACGAACCTACGTTTCTGCTTTATCCCTTATTTGGTGATAATGGTCACCCCAAGAGCCACACCGCCGAGTGGATAAAGATAAACTAAAATGCAGAGTTGGAGTATGTTTTCGAGTATGTATGAGCGCATCGAAGTGGAGAAGGGCTGCAGTTTAATTTATGGTATAGTACAAACGAGGGGACAACTGCGCACCACACGTTTACAGAATGCCCGTCGTGGGTGGAACAGAGGTGTAGGCTGGTGGCGGCCATCGGAGTGGGACTTCTCTCGCTCGGTAACATGGTACGCAGTGAGAGTGTGTGTGGAACTCCGCCGTCTCCTTCTGCGAGCAAGTTATGCTTGCGAAGAAGATGTAGGAGCGGGACCGGGAGAGGTTTAGAACTCTCCCGGCCGGAACCGCGGACGACCCAGGCGCCGAAGGTCGCAGAACCTGTGTCCTCAATAAGCGCAGGCCTGGAGGTGGCAGGTGAGGCCGACTGTCGCCCTAGCAGAAGCAGGTCGAGGGTGGCGGCGAGACGCGCTGTGGAGCGCGCGCGCCCTTTCGGGAGCACAAAGGGACCATGAGAGTTCCCACACAGGAGGGGGTCATCTACGCGCAATAAATTGCCCGAGGTACGTCGGGGTACCAGGGATTTCCTATCTAGGGTAAACCTGGTAGCAAGCAAGCAAGTGGTACCCGAGACGGCGCGGGCGTGCAGTTTTTGGTCGGTTCGAGTCCGACAAAACGACCGCACCCATCATTCGAGATTTCCGCACAAAAAAAAAACAGCAAGTGCGAGTCGGACTCGATATTCTTTACTCTTTTTTTTGTAATCTGTGGTATGTTAAAGAGTTTTGTAAATATTAGAATTATGTTATTGATTTAATAATTAGACTATAAAGACAATGATAATATATCTGTGCACCAATGAATAAATGATTATTGAATAATTAGTGCTTTATTTCTCTGATTTATCCCACAAGTCTTTTCGGTTCCGCGCGCCCGCTCCCGTTACATATGACCGCGCGCCCGATTGAAGGTTAAATATTTATTTTATTCTGTTTTTAGTATTTTAGTCTAACTACTGTCTAACTATCACGCTTCATGAGATACAGCCTGGAGACAGACGGACGGATTAGTGGAGTCTAAGTAATAGGGTCCCGTTTTACCCTTTAGGTACGGAACCCTAAACAGGGATACAAACGAGTCACCTTACGGTTAAACGGGACACCGATACGGCAATGGAACGATGCACACATTATTATATCAAAAATAAGTAGAGCCAGCATCAGAATCCTAGGTATTGACATATCGAGCGAAGTCCAGTTTCGGAGTCACTTAGAGGGTAAGGTCAAATTGGCCTCGAAGAAGCTCGGTGTGCTGAACAGATCGAGGCAGTATTTCATTCCGGCCTACCGCCTTCACCTCTATAAGGCGCAAGTCCGGCCGCATATGGAATACTGTTCTCATCTCTATACAGGGGCACCTCAGTACCAGCTTCTCCCTCTGGACCGCATCCAACGAAGAGCGACTCGAATCGTCGATAGCCCAAACATCTCCGATCGGCGCGATCCGTTGGCGTTACGTAGAGATTTAGCTTCACTCTGTATTCTCTATCGCATATATCATGGAGAGTGCTCCGAGGAATTGTTCGGACTAATGCCGCAACTTTCCGCCATCGTTCCACCAGCAAAATTTTCATCCTCATCACCTGGATAGTTGGCGCTCCACTACTGTGAGCTTTTCGAGACACTTTTTGCCCCGCACAACCAATCCGTGGAACGGGTTATCGTCTGCGGTATTTCCGGACCGATACGACCTTCAAACCTTCAAGAAAAGAGAGAGTACTTCTTCCTAAAAGGCCGACAACGCGTTTGTGACTCCCGAGTTGCAGTCGCTCATCAGGTTCACTTTCGATCAGGTGACCCGTCTGCTCGTCTGCCCCCTCTAACATAAAAAAAGAGTAGAAAGAGACGCAGACTCACTCTCTTCGAGGTCGAAGATCTCCTTGGCGATGTTCTGGAACTTCTTGCCGTCGTACTCGGGCAGCGAGGAGAGGCAGTACTCGTCCACGGCCTCGGTGAGGTAGAGCACCTCGTAGCCGCGCTTGACCAGGCGCTCGGCGAAGGGCGACTTGCGCACCTCGGCCTGCGAGGCGCCCGCGATGTAGTAGATGTGGTTCTGGCCCGCCTTCATCCGCGCGACGTAGTCGGCCAGGAACGTCATGTCGGACCCGTGCGACGAGTAGAAGCGCAGCAGCTTGGCCAGCCGCGAGCGGTTCGACGGGTCCTCGATCACGCCCAGCTTGATGCTGCCGACCGACACGAGAGTTACTTCGGGTCCGCTAGGGTCCGCGGGGTAGCGTCGCTAAAGCTCTAGTCTACACTTACTTGGTGGAGTACTCCTTCCAGAAGGCCAAGTACTCGTCGTCAGGAATCTTCTTGAGCATATCGAGCACTTTGCGGACGAGCTTCTTCTTGATGATCTTGATCAGTTTGTGCTGCTGTAGCGTCTCGCGGGACACGTTCAGCGGTAAGTCGTCACTATCCACGATACCCTAGATGAACGTTGTAAATTTAAAAGACTACATTGATCATCGATTTTTCTTTCTCTCACTTTCGTTTGTGGTAAAATGAAAACTCACTGTATTTTTTTAAAGACCTGTCCCACTAGGAATATATCCTGTGTCATAGGGGCTTTACGAACATACACGAAACGGACAAAAAGAGCGCCCAGACCTGAGTCTGTTCTGGGTTCGATCTCCACTTGGGACAACATCAGTTTTGTCCCATGTGGGGATCGAACACAGAACTCTCACCACACAGACTCACACAGAAAGCGACCGCTCAAACCACTAAATCATCCGTGCAGTCATTTATTATATTTTTAGAAATATATATTCAAGTTAGCCTTTCAAAACTTCACTATTTTTACTCTATTTTTAAACTTCACGAGTCTAGGAGCCTAACCATTACAATTACATTAAAACAAGTTTAGAAATGGAAACGTTTAGTATTGTAAATCGATAGGGGAGGGCGTACCTGTATGAAGGCGAGGTAGTTGGGCATGAGCTCGTTGAACTCGTCGGTGATGAAGACGCGGCGCACGTAGAGCTTGATGTGGTCGGTCTTGGTGCCGTAGCGGTTGAACGAGTCCGAGGGCTGCACGCGCGGCACGAACAGCAGCGCGCGGAACGTCACCTCGCCCTCCGCCACGAAGTGGGCCCTGCACGCAACGGCTACGTCAGCACACACACACACACTCACAGCGACCGCCGACACTCGCGTCACAATACTGACCTGGCGAGAGGCGCTGAAGTATCTTTAGTGAGGCTCTTGTAGAACTGGTTGTACTCGTCGTCGTTCACCTCGGAAGGCTTGCGGGTCCAAATGGGCTTGTTGTCGTTCATCAGTTCCCAATCCCATACGGTCTTCTCCGTCTTCTTGGTCTCACGCTTTTCCTCGGCGGCGTCCTCCACCTGGATACGTCACATTATACTTAAGTCAGCCATAAGATTCACCGTGCAAAAAATATAATATGAATAATTACTAACATAGATGACACTGAAATTGTAAACTGATTCCAAATTAGGCACAGCCTGTGGTATAGTAGTCTCAATTTTTTTGTATTATTATGTTTATTGCACATTATAAGGGTGGCTTGTATTCCTGTCTCCTACATTTCACCTAGTTTATAGATGTTTTATACCATTATGGAGTTCAATAAAGAGAATATCAATAATAGTTGTACATGTTATGTTAAACGCTATGAACTGTGTAGTTATAATGTAATGTGCAATATATCCGTACCTGGGCATCGTCGTCGTCGTCGGCCTTGTCCGCGTCGCTCTCCGCCTCGTCGGCCTCCTCCACCGTCTCCGTGTGCGATGCCCACAGGTAGATCGGGAAGTTGATGAACTGAGAGTACTTCTTCACCAGGTTGCGGATAGTGTCGGGCTGCAAGTAGTCAGCCGCTTCCTCTTTCACGTGTAATCTGTTGAGGACACAGCGTTACTCTCTATAAACCTGTGCCGCAAATCTACTTTTTTTAATAGTAAGAAATTGAAGGAGGACAAGGGGCTTGCAGTTTGCCCACTACTGGCATTATTATGTATGGGTTATTGAATTACGTACAAAGTTCGAAATTTCGCAGGTCGACGACCGGTAGGAGGAGAGAATTTCTTAGCAGGTGAAGCATCTTATTAATTAGGCTTACAAAAACTGTTCTGTGTGCATGTAGAACGAGTATGACATTAGCCGGTCGATGCTTAAGAAACATACTATAGTACTTCCACGGTGTATATCAGAGGTAGGAAAACAAAGAGCATACGTGATATGCGTGCCGCGCTTGAGCGAGTCGCCGCGAGGGTCCTCGACGATGCTGAAGGAGTTGGCGTCCGACTCCCATATTTGCTGCTTGTCGTCGTTGTGCTTCGACACCACCGTCACCTTGTCGGCCACGAGGAACGCCGAGTAGAAGCCCACACCGAACTGGCCGATCATGTCGTTCATCTCCTGTGCTCCGCCCTGTAACGAGTGCCCGACATGTTTACACGTCTAGCATTCTTGTCATTATCTTTGCTGATTTCGATAATAAAAGGAAGAATCGAGTACCTTATCGGAATCTTGCATCTTGGAGAGGAACTCGGCGGTGCCGGATTTGGCGATGGTACCGAGATTATTGATGAGGTCGTTGCGTGACATTCCGATACCGGAATCGATGATATGTAGCAGGCGTTTCTCCGGGTCGGCTTTAATACGGATGCTGAGGTCGTTGTTGGCGTCCAGAACGTTACGGTCCGTCAGCGACATCAGGCGAATTTTGTCCAGAGCGTCGGACCCGTTTGAGATCAATTCACGAAGGAAAATCTGCATGAGACTTTAAATGCATCAGTTTGACGAATCGCGTGGGCACTTACACTTGACACATCACGTTAGAGCACGTGAGTATTGTACGAAAAATCAAAACCTCACCTCCTTATTTCTGTACAGAGAGTTAATGATGAGTTTCATCATACGGTTAACCTCAGTCTGGAATGTGTAGTTCTGGGCCTTCTCCTTGAGCTCCCGCATTTGAGCCACACTCAGTTCGTCCGGAGATATGGCCTCCTCCTCCCGCAACACCGCTTCAGCATCTACACGAGACAAAAATACATGTTTAAAAATCTACGATAGCCCTATAAATGTACGTGCGTGAATTGGCTAGTAACAGTTTGTATCCAAGGAACAGTTTCCCTTCCTAATTTATAAACCTGCTTAGAAACGCAGAGCGCATTGATCAAACATAACTGAGCGGGAGTGAAGTGAACCGCCACGCCGCGATTGCTCAGTTAGAAGTGCGAGGTGCGTCATGGCGAGCGAGGGCGAGAGCGCGGTCGCGTCTCCGGTCGAGCTGGTCCCCTGCGAGTCGCTCGGTGCGCCTGTGGGACCCCGCTCGCTACACGCGCTCTCCTTCAAACTGAGGTTCGCTTCACAACGTGAGCCCGGCCGTTCCTACGTGTCCTTAGTGAAGCCCCTCGGCCTGCGTCAGTTTCTACACTTTCACTAAGTATCTATAGGCGTAAAGCACTTCTCAAAACTGTCTCAGTAGCGGCATCGTCCTCACTTTAATATTTTCCTATCGACAGCTGCCACGGTGACCGGCAAGTTCTACTGTCGCGAGCGGCCGACTCAGGTAGACGAGGAGGGCACGCAGCGCGCCTTACGACGGATCCAGGACATGTTCGAGCGCGGACCCCGCGAGAGATACGACGCCCCTCACACCAGCTCACAAGTGTAGGTAACTCATAACCCCTCGGAGAACAGAACGATCGGCATTACAATAGCGAACCGTGTGTAGGTACGGCTGGTACGAGGAGGGGCGGGACGCGGCGCTGGTGCGGGGCGACAGGCGCCTCAGCCACCACGTGCGCGACTCGGCGTGGCTGCGAGCGCGCCTGCGCGTGCTGGCGGAGGACGACAGGGTCAAGCAACGATAACCACTACCAAGTCTTAACGTAACGAATCATAACACAATGTCTAGTCATTTTACAAATTAGCAATATGCACTGAAATATTTTATGTATGTAATAATCATATTAATATTCAATATTTAGAAAAACAGTGTACTAAATTTTATTATTTCGTGTTCTGTGAATCATTTCTCATGTATTCTCTATCTATTTAACTTAGAAATTGATAATAGGTACTAATAAATTCTTTATTTCAAAGAATATGATATAGTTTTGAACTGGCTCTCCGAGTGCTTCAGTACAGATTCAATACAGCGCTCTCTCTCTCTCAATCTCATAGATTATTATGTTATCTGTATTGAAGGCACTGATAACTCCATAAGCTTTTATTTTCTGTAAATCAATCAAGAACTATTAAATAATGTTAAACTTACTAAATACTGTTACCGCAGTCTTTCTAAAATATCATTTGTTTTTTTAATTTTAATTTTACTCAGAGAACTGAAGTGACAACTGTTCAGTCAAAGGTCCACATTTATAATTCTAATTTATTGATTAATTTATGTAGAGCCATTTGTTTAAACCAGGAGATTTTATTATTTAAACCAGGAGATTTCTGGAGTGGGTCTAGTAACTGTTACGGGAAAAAACTAATCTCTGCTTCAACACCAACTAATGTTAAGAAGTAATTCATTTAACTATGACATATTGTGTGTTAAAATCAACTTCATTATTTAACATTGCAATTGATACCATAAGCTATCTCTAATATTCAATTTCTTATCATAAATCATAAAAAATTAAGATAATGTGATGATAAACAGCAAAAACCGTAATACTGTAGATAACCCATAATTTATTGGTTTCACTCATTAAAAAGGTAGACCGCCGGATTGGTGACATGATGGAGGCCCCATTAAATGGGATTCGGTTATAGCACAGCCTAAAAACATTGACTAGTTCTTTAATTATTTTATTTATGGAGGAGACCACATTTAATGAGATGACAGTAAAATAACAGAGACAAATGCATTGCACTCAACATTACTTTTCATTTTATAAGTAGGTCCTCAAGAACTTATAATAATTGTTTGTGGTAAGCTACCCACAATGCATTTACTTCTACACCAAGTTCCATGTTGCTTGACTTCCAACATATTTCATTTAATTACAATATTTAGTGTAACAAAATTAGTTTATATTAACCTATTACTGAGCAAGCTATCTAAACAACATTATTCATATAGAAGAAGGAAACATTTAGGCACAACATTCTTATTGGTTTTTTCAAGTATTTATTTACTTTATTAAAGTAATTGTTAAGTAGAGATGGCAAAAAACCCAAATTAATAACCATTCCTCTCTTTAAGCATTTACTTAGATTACCTTAAATGAATAATGTGCTTTAAATTACTTTTCATGACATTTAGACAATTTAAAATTAACAATTTTAACTGTTATAAAACATTTGCTTGCTTACAAAGTTGACACTGTCACTGCCTACGAGGACACAGTTCAACTCATGCATTAGTTGAACTTGGGTGAATTAACCATTTTTTTAAATGAAAATTAAAACAGATTTTTCTTTTTCGATGAATTTAGGTTCGTCTGTTTGTTTTTATTTTATAAAACAAGTAAACTATGTGAATGGATACATTACTGCTGTTTTATTTTGTTTACAAAAATATCATTCCACTCTTATAGTACTAATCCTTAAAAGTGGATTATTTTCCAGCAATAAATCTATAATAAATAAACGATTTATAACCAGAGGGTTATTTGAATAGAACAAGAGGCTTACCTGTGCGGGACCCCTCGCGTGACGAACCGTGGTCAGCGTCCACCGTCACCTCCTCCACGGTGCCCACGCCCAGACCCTCCTCCTGGGCTTGCGTCCATCCTGTAACACATAACCTTCTTATTAGACTGCTGACGACGCTAACATCATCGAAAGTTCTAGCGCCAGGGATATGACTATGAATCTGTGCAAGTACTACATTAGAATACATTTATTGACTATAATGAGATTCCTTGGTGATAAAATTAAGAATTTTCTTTCAGAAAACTTGAGAAATTAAAATTACATCGAAAAATAGAAACAAAATACGGTTAGTACACTACGTAGACAGTTTACCTGCAAGCAGTAGAACGCCGGCCGCCAGCAACAAAATATATTTCATGTTAGCAAATTCTTACAATAAAAGTGTTTAACAACTTTTCCTTATGATTTAAATAAATGAGTACATTAAAAATTAATAAGAGTGCTGTGCTACGTTATAAAACGTGTCCAGCTTCCCTTTGAATCGCGTCTAACTACTAGCAAGTCGAAGTTTTAACTTGAAGTTTCGCTTCGGTTATGGGTGGATGATTGCGACTTATTGGCGGAGCTAAACTATGCGCATGTATTTGGCCGAATCATTTGTAAACACGACACACAATTGACTAATGGTAGATTAAGAAATACAAATGTCGATACCCCATTGGCTGATACTAAAAACAACTCTGTAACGTCATCTTCTGTTCCATTTCACTCAATGCACTATTGACGTGAAAGGTAATGAAAAATTCAAGTGACCTCTTTTCTTTTTTACGGCATAGGGACGCAAACGAGCAGCAGCAACTTGATAGTATGTGACTACTTCTGCCTACGCATACCTGCAACTCAAGAATCACAAGTACGTTGTGGCTCTTTCAGTCCCTACCCCATAATCAAGGATCCTTATTTCCGATTACCTTATTTACTTAAAAATTAACGAAGGAACTAATTAGCACCTGTTTTCTGTGAGGCCTTGGTATCATGCCCGCCGAGTCTGGCCTATGTGTGTGCATAGCTCTCCTACTACATTTTTTTTTTCAACTTCATCTGACATTTTCATACTATTCGATCTAGTCATTCTACAATGCACAATTCGTTGGATTCTAAATTTATTTAATATTTTTATACGATTTCAAAAAGGAGGAGGTTATCAATTCGGATGTTTATATTTAATGGTCCGAGTACACGTTGGACAGACTCGAGCGAAGTCAAGCCGACGCCAATGTGTACACGGGTTACTTTGTATACGTGCGCGGACTTTTAATGTTTATTTTTATTTTAATGTTTATTTCTCTATCCTACTCTAACAAATTTTGGCGCTTTCTTTCTTCTTCTTCTTCTTCTTCTTCTTCTTCTTCATACATGGCAAACTGTGCCGATGTCGACAATTCTGCCAGTGTCAAGTGCAATGGAAATACGTGGGTTTTATTACACAAAAAATTGAATTGATGATATTAATTGTAGACTGAATGTGGGGCTTTTTGTTGTGGTTAGTATTTACACTGAAACAAGCAGACAAGTACAAATAGATAAGATATGTATTAAATAAATAAATAGGTAACTAATAAGCAAACAATCACAAAAAAAATAAAATTCAATATTCATAGAAATGAAGGTCAAAGTCTGATGTCATTGGATCGGATGAACAACATCAAGACCTGGAGAAGGCGGGGGGATGAAAATGTTAGGAGAGATGAGAAGTTAATAGGGATGGGGATTTTTAGTTCGGTAAGGTGAGAATAGAGATCTAGGGATGGGATATTTTTAGGACAACTGAAGAATATGTGATCTAGATTGCCTTCATCTAAGCCACATTCACATAAGGACGAATCCCGTACCCGAATCTTGTTCAGGAACACAGGTGAGCTGCAGTGACCTATGCGGAGCCTACATATGGTGGAGATGACAGGTTTACATACCTTCTTAAATTTATAGAACCAGGGTTTTGGGGTAATGCTTGGTTGGATTGCGTAGTAGTGACGCCCTTTATGCTTTGAGGAATTATTCCACTCTTCCTGCCAGGATGTTAACAATTCTCTCTGAGGCAGTCTTAAGAGATCGTAATGCTGGTGTGTAAGATGTTTCTGGTCCGACATTGCAGAAGTAGCAGCACTTTTGGCCAGTGAGTCTGCACACTCATTGCCCACAATGCCACTATGGCTGGGAACCCATACCAGTTGAACTATTTTTGAGTTGGTGGAACAATTCAAAAGGGTTTTTTTTTATTTCTAGGATCAGCGGACTGTGAAGTTTACTACGAAAGAGATTTTGTAGCAGGGCTTTAAGGCAACTTAGAGAGTCAGTGAATATGACTGCCTTCTGAATGTTGTGCGAGTCAATGTACAAGCATGCCTCTAAGATAGCAACACACTCGCCTGTAAAAACTGAAGCCTCTTTTGGACACTTATACTGTAAGAGAATTCTGGAGTTTTGGAAGTACACAGCGGCTCCAGTGTAGCTATCATTATTAAGTTTGGATGCATCAGTAAAGAACCTCCCAAACCCATCCCAGTGTTCAGCTAAGTGTGTATTAAAGGTGGAAACAGAAGAGGCAGATTTCTTAGGGATTCCAACATCCAGAAGAACATTCGGCTTAAAACAAAGGACGCTATAATTAAAGGAAAACAGAGGGAGTTTGTCAAATGACACAGCAGAGTTAAAAAAAGTAGAGTAGGAGCGAAAGGATTGTAGAATCAATGGAATTCCCTTATGAGTCCAGTAATTTGAGGTAGTACAAATGGAGTCTAATTCTAAGATTTTTTGAAGAAGAGGATGGGAAGATTTACAAACAGATTTTATTATAAAACGTGAAGCGAGAAATTGTCTTCTTATTGATAAAGGTGGATCTGAACATTCCACTTGTAAGGCATTTATAGGGGAGGACTTCATGCAACCATTAACAATGTGAAGGCACCTAGATTGGACTCTGTCCAGATTTGCCAAAGCGCTTTTATTGCATGGAATCAGTAAAAATAGCCCATAGTCCAATATACTGCGTACTAAGGCATTATATACCAGTTTCATGGTGTATGGGTGTGCTCCCCACCAGACCCCAGCTAGGGCCTTTAAAATTGGGATTACACGTTCACATTTTGCGGTTAAATGGTTCATGTGGTGAACGCCAGTCAATTTAGAGTCAAGATATACTCCTAGGAACTTAAATTTGTTTAATAAAGGAATTTCCTGCAGCTGTACTTGGACATCAATCTGTGGCAGAGTCTTCTTTCTTGTAAAAATAATAACCGCACTTTTCTGAGCAGAAAGACTAAGGCCATGATCTGATAGCCACTGCCACAGAGAATTAAGGGAAATAGTGAGTGATGTGGCTGCCTCTTGGATGGAATGGTTCGAAACATATAATGCCAGATCGTCGGCATATTGAAGGATGCTACAATCATTGTTTAGGCATGAGCCCATGTCGGCAGTGTATAGATTGTACAACAACGGACTCAGTACAGAGCCCTGTAAGCCCCTCCAGGTTTTTCTTTGGCCAAACTCTTCACCTAAGGTCCTTAGGACTAGAGTTCTGGACACAAGCATTGCGCATATGCAGTGGATCATCTTAACCGGAATTCTCAGCTGATGCAGTTTCTGCCTGAGAATGGGTATTAAGACATTGTCATATGCAGCAGATATGTCGAGAAAAGATGTTAGAACAGATGCATTTTGTGACAGAGAAAGACGGATATCAGTTATTAAAACTGCAACACTGGCCATTGTACTGAGCCCTTTGCGAAAGCCGAACTGATAGTTTGGCAGTAGATTCCTTGACTCTACAATCCATTCGAGACGGTTTTTGATGAGATGTTCTAATAATTTAATAAGGACTGATGAGAGGGCGATTGGTCTAAAGCTGTTTGGATCACCAGCATGTTTTCCTGGTTTTAGAATGGGGATAATAATTTGAACTTTCCATGTATCTGGGATCCAACCGTTAGAATAACAGAAATTCAAAATGTTTAAAAAATAAGTTTTTGTACTAGGCTTGGCCTGAATTATGAAAGAATATGGAATGCCGTCTATGCCAGGAGCCGAGTTCGCACACTGTTGAGGACCATGTTCAGTTCTTCCAGAGAGAATGGGTCGTCATGGGTATCCACTGACTGAAACGGTAAGTCTGGTAAGGTCGCTTCATCGAGTTGTGGGACATACGGGGGGGGCAATTCTGTCCAGGAAAAGCTCAGCTTTATTGGGGGAGATAGAGGAAGAGACAGAGGGCGAACAACCAGATCGGAACCGATTTATGTTCTTCCACACCATTGAGGATGGGGTGGATGGGGACAAGGAGGAACAAAATTTAACCCAACCGGCGCGCTTCTTGCGTCTAAGGAGTCTTTTGGTAGAGGCGAAAACGTTTTGGTAGGTGAGTAGATTATGGGTGGTCATATCGGCATTGTATCTCCTTTCGGACTCCTTCCTATACTTGACTGCCCTAGTACATTCACTGTCCCACCAAGGAGGTGACGGAATTTTGCCTTTGCTCGAGTTTTTAATTTTGAAGGAACTGTCTGCACTTGATCTGATTGCCTCTACGAACGCGTCACAACAGTCCATCACCAGGTAACGATCATCCTGGGTTAAGGGTCTAAGGTCTAGTCTGGGGAGAGCATTCACAGAGTTTTCGAGGGTTTGGGAGAAATTTTGCCAGTTAGCTCCTGAAAGGATATATTTTAAAAGGGAGGGTTACTAAAATTGGATAATGATACTACCATGCGACAGATCGGTGCACTGCCAGCTAGCAGCTGCGGCGATGTCGAGTGAGCAAATAGTCAAATCCACACAGCTACTATTTTGACCAGGAAGAACTCTACGAGTGGAGCAGCCACTGTTAAGTACGCAGAGGCTCAGATCATCGAGGATCTCCACTAAACCTGAACCGAAAGAGTCGCAGTGTTCAGATCCCCATCTATAGTGATGGCAGTTAAAGTCTCCCATAACCAATATTGGGCCCTGTAGATCCTGTAAAATCGTTCTCAATGTAGGCAGGAAACTTTGATGGGGGTGGGCTATATAAATAGAGAGCACAGATATGTTAAAGATCTTAGCTGCAATCACGCTGATATCCTCAAGGAATGGGGGCAAGGATAGGGGGACTAAGGGGATTTTATTATTAATAAGGAGGGCAGCACCTCCATAGCCATCAGGCCTATCACATCTAAGAATATTGAAATGGGGGACATGGAAGTTGAGACTTGGTAAAAGCCAGGTCTCAGCGAGAGAAATAGCCAGAGGCTTGAATTTGTTCAACAGGAATATGAGGTCGTGTTTTTTATGGAATACACTCCTCACATTCCATTGTAGGAATACTTTGTGGGACGCCATTTTTGAAATTTGTTAAAATATTGATAAGTGAGACAGCAACGTTGGACGGTATAATAGACTGGGATAGAGATGAATTGGGGGATAGTAGGGAGGTTAAGAGTTGTAACAGAAGATCAATAGTTGAGGATTCAAGGGATGAGTTATTCATAGCACAACCATTAGGTTGTGAAGGTTGGGGAGATTGAGTAATGAATTGGTGTGCGACTTTATCGTAGGAGTGTGAGAGTGGGGATCGAGGTTTAGGTTGGCGAACCACAGTTTTTTTGTAGGACTGTGTGTGCTGGAGGGATTGGGTAGGCTGAGTGGATTGAGAAGGTTGAGGGAGTTGGTTGAGTTGTGGAGCTTTTAGGATGTCAGCGTATCGGCGTGTTGGAGAGGGAACAACCTTGCTTGCTTCCATGTAGGATATGTTCCTTTCCGCCATCATGGTCTTAATAGCTCTCTGTCTACCATACTCCGGGCAAGCCTTGCTATAAGCAAAGTGGTCACCGGAGCACAGCACACAAAAGGCCTCTCTTTCTGATACCTCACAACCATTACCAGGATGTTCGTGGCCACACTTGCTGCATCTTGGTTTGGACCTGCAGATGGACTCCCCATGGCCAAACCTGCAGCATTTCCTACACTGTACGGTTGGGTAAATATATTGTTGAACAGGAAGCGAGTTGTAACAACAGTATACTCTTTTAGGCAGAACCTGGCCATCAAAAGTGAGGACACAGGTTTCCGTAGGTTTCCACTCCAATAGACCTTCAGTAAAACATTTCCTATTAAGGCGCCTGACTTTAATTATTGGGCCACAACCCTGCGGCACTGTAACAAATTTAATGACATCCTCATCATCCATGTCGGTGGGGATGCCTGATACTACACCCATTCTAGTGATGTTAAAGGTGGGGATGATGGCAGTGTATTTATGTGAATTTAGTAAGGGGTTTATTAAAAATGAGTTGGCATCCTGAGAGGATGCAAACTGTACTGACACCCTATTACGACCTACTTTTTTGACTCCATCTCTGACCACATTGTTAATTTTATTTTAAAAAGAAAAACACCAAAAGAGACAGGGTGGAGCGTTGTGCCAGAACCCAATTGGGTCTCCATGCGGGAAACATGCACAATGTAGGGACCAGTATCATTTGTCGTGTACTTGTCACGACCTAGCGGGCTTCTTACTTGATTAGGGCTACGTTTAATAGGGCGGTTACTTACCTCATCGTTCACATGTCGTTTACGTGAGTTTGTAGCGAGAGGGCAATTATCTTGGACCGCTGCATTGCAGATCACATTGGCAAACTGTTCTAAGGGGTTGGAAGGGATCGGGTAGGGAAGGAGTAGGGGTGAAAGGAGGGGTTACTGGATATGGAATATCGGGAGGGTCGGGCGGTTTATTTCCGTTCATGTTCACTTACCGGTAATGTTTAGTTACAAACAACACACCGTAACCAATAGGACAGCACAAAATAACAAAAAAAAAAGACCCAATAGTCACAAAATCACACAAGAATTCTAGACGCACGTGCTAACCAAACGGACGACGACAGAATCCCGGCGCTTTCTTTAAAAATAATGTCCTAATTCGACTGTAGCGCCCTAAATTTAAAGTCACTTTTTGTACAGAGAGTCGGTTCTCCTTACCTCTACCTTCTATAGCTACAACTTAAAGTTCGAACCATGAGTTTTTTGCCCATTCTTCTCATAAGGCTCAACCCCTTGAAAACGGTCGGTTGTGGATCGGCACAGGCATCATAGATTTGGTATAAGCATAATTTTTATGAAAAAAAAATCCATACTATTTGACAAAACAGAAATTGTTGCTATTGTGTTTGTGTTGATCTACGACTTTAAAGTCTTCTACATAAAAGGCGATTTCAAACAATTTTAAACTTTCATGAAATAAAGATATTTTGAATTTGAAATGAATTTGAACTCTAGTTAGGAAAACATTTTATTTCTGGTTTTATAACATTTTAAAGATTTTTGGTTGTTCACGACAGATAAAGATCTAAGGGTGGCAGCCCTGCTTGCTTGACAGAGTGGATACTGTTGACAGTTTAATTTTCTGTCAATTCATAGCGTACGTGAATGATTACTTCATTTATGTTTTTATAAACAAGTCAATATAACGAAAAATTTATTGTTCACATGTGATTAAATAAACAGTAAAAGTTCGTGTTAGTCATATCTAAAATAGTTCGATACATTTCTTTACTGAATAATGCAAATAGGTAGTTCACCTAATGTTTCAAGTTCCCGAAAACGAATAGTCTATAAACCAAGTACCTGGCGGATTCATCAGTTTGAAATATGGAGTGGCGATCTCCTTTGCAAGGCAGTGGCTTTACGTGTTCAGGGAGCTCTGCTTCTGTGGTTGGGAGGTGCAGGCGCGGCGCAGCTTAGTGAAATAGCTTTAGGTATGCCAGCCCCGAGTAATGATGGTAACCGCGATGCACTTTCGACGACACTAATAGGCGCTGATGGCACAGCAGCTGCAATGGCGCGCCGTCTTTCTGCAGCACTGGAAAGACCCGTCTATGTGTGCAGTGGAGTTACTTTTGATCGTTTCACGATGCCACTTATTGAACGGGGTCTAGTGGCAGAAATTAAAAGCAGGCCGGAATGCTTTTAGTCTTTGTTTTGTAAATTGTACCACTCACTATATGTAAGAGAATGAAAATTGTACATGTTTTATAATATTAAATAAAGTTGATTTATCACAATAGTAAGGGGTGAGGTTTCACTTGGCTGTTGGTCATCATAACTGCGAGTATAAGACAGTATTGTTACAAACCAAACAACTAAGTCCAACGATTATGCTATGAGCTATGATTTTTATTTTTTATTATAAAGAATACTAGTAACATGGATTGCATATTATTGTTTATGATGCCTCTAGCTAGCTATCTGATTGTATTACAAGTGGATTTCAATGGTGTGAATTGGGTGGAGTTCAATACTCCTGAATAGTGAGTCCCTTGGCCATTATATTAATATTGCAATTTTGCAACAGAACACTTGTGGACAAATATGTGCAAGCATTATATATATAATATTGGTTAATAGCCTAGTTTACAACACCTATTATTGTCAAGAAACTTAAAGTATGGATGTAAATTCTCAAATAAATACAGTTATAGTGTTTAGTATTTAAGGCAAATACCCTTTAGTTTATCCTTTAAACTATGTAAAAGAAATCATTTCAAAGGTCACATAAATATAAGCTACAATTTAGTAGAGTGAGAAAAAGAAAAAAACTGGCAAAACTTTTTTTCTTTTTTATGTCAGTGGAGGCAGAGGAGCAGACAGGTCACCTGATTTAAAGTGACCATCGCCTGCCCATGAATGTCTGCAACTCAGGAGTCACAAATGCAAATCTCTTTTCTTGAAGGTCTGAAGGTCGTATTGGTCCGGAAATACCGCAGACGATAACCCGTTCCACAGATTGGTTGTGCGGGGCAAAAAGTGTCTCGAAAAGCGCACAGTAGTGGAACGCCAACTATCCAGATGATGAGGATGAAAATTTTGCCTTTTGGAACGATGTCAGAAAGTTGCGACTGGTATTCAAATCATTAACAGCCTTCAATAGTTCACTGCTGGACATAAGCCTCTCCTTAGAAAGATGGTTTTGGCCTACTATACCACGCTGGCCAGACGGGTTGGTATAGGGTTTGTATCAGTTTTCCTTCTCTCTGCAGTGCTGTTGGTCTGCGTAGTTTTCCCCCTTAGTCGGCTCTTACCACACCCACGGGATGAATAGCGGTGGTGACACTGTATTCTGAATCCGTCACCTCACTGGTACTTGTCCGACATTCCGATAGTCCAGAGGGGGAAGCTGGTACTGAAGTGCCCTTGCATAGAGATGAGCACAGTATTCCATATGCGGCCGGACTTGCGCCTTATAGAGGTGAAGGCGGTGGGCCGGAGTGAAAGACTGCTTTGATCTGTTCAGCACACCGAGCTTCTTCGAGGCCAATTTGACCTTACCCTCTGTGACCCCGAAACTGGACTTCGCTCTCAAACCGAGGTGATACGACAAATGGTATCTTCTTTGCGGTGTACGCACAGACCTGTGTATTTTTTGGGTTAAACTGGACTAGATTTAGTCAGCCCCAATCTGATACCTCCGCTAAGGAAGTTCCAATTTCAGACAAGTTTGTTTCGACTCTCGATGACGTTTACCCGAGAAATATTGGGGCGGCCGGTGTAAAGGGCATCTCCTGTGCTATCATCTGCATAGCAATGGATGATACTAGTTTGCAACATGTCATTGATATGCAGAAGAAACTGTGGACACCATCATTTATAAATTTCGAGTCGGAGCATGCACCGTCGACAACGACCTTAATGCTTCTGTCCGCAAGGAAACTGGTGACCCAATTCCACAATTTCTCGGGGAGGCCCAAAGGAAGGCAGTTTCTAAAGAAGCGCCTTATGCCAGACCCGATTGAAGGCCTTCGCTATGTCCAAACCAACCGCACAACCTCTCCTTTGGTCTCGATCGCCTGTGCCCACCGGTGTGTTAGAAAGACGAGAAGATCACCAGCTGAGCGACCCCGGTGAAAACCATATTGTCGGTCATTGAGTAGCTGGTCATCATCTTAGTACCGGAGAAGCTGACAGTTGATTATGGATTCCATAACCTTAGAGAACAAAGGAGTTATGGCTATAGGCCTGTAGTTGGACGAGTCACAGCACCTTTTTTAGGGGTCGGGTGCACAAACGCCTTGGGAGTAGGTGAGACGAAAAAGGCGCGTTAAAACCGGTGCCAACTACGGAGTACACGTCTTCAACATGATAAGAGAGATAACATCGGGCCCACACGATTTATGAATTTCGAGAGAAAACAGTGCTTTACGCACTGATTTTTGTGTGAACCGGATATCCGGCATATCGCTCTATCACCGTGGTATGGTCGGCGGTACGTTTTCCCCGTCATCCAAAGTCGAGTTGGATGCAAAGAGTTTGCCTAGGAGATCGGCTTTCTCCTTGGCATCATAGGCCAACGAATTATCTCCCATCTGCAGGGGTGGAAAGGATTGGCTACAGAAATTCCCCTGGACAGCCTTGGCAAGAGACCAGAATGCACGAGTTCCAGAAGGAAGTCTCACCAGTCTCTCACCGATCCGGTTTATGTGCTCCGAGTTCGCCCTAGCAATGGCTCTTTTAAGGGTCCTGGAGGCAAAGTTACCTCCAACTTACCTCCAAAGGGGTGAAACGGCGGTACTTCTGACTGGATTGTACTCATCGAGGTCATTGATAGAGCACTAAGAGCTCTTTTTCATTGTAAGAATATAGTCAAACCGCCGTAAGCTTGGCCAACCCCATTGGTTTGCGGGACGCTTGGCAGGGGTACGCTCGACCAATCAGCTAGTGTGTTGCTGTCCGCCGGCAGTGACTGACGTGAAAACATGGCTGTACGTGTTATTTTTCTTAAGACTGCTACACATGGTATTATTTTACAACACGGATAATCTGCGACTCGCGTCACAAAAAGATTAAAGAACATTTGGATTAATATCCTTTTTTTTATAAACGTTTCCTTTTGTTTTTTATTTAATATCTTAGTTATAGTCGATTATCCGTGTAGACGGATTAAGAATACGGAGTATCACCACCTCTATTCATCCTAAGGTTGTCGTAAGAGCCGACTGAGGGAGCAAACTGTGCAGGACAACAACACTGCAAAGAAAAACTTGAAACAAAACTTTGTTTTTTTTTACGTGTGGAAACTCCCTCGGGCCGTCACCTACAGCGGGGTGGTATGTCGGGATCGGACCGACTAAAACCACACGGTGTGCCACTGTGCGCCTTTTTTAGGAGGGATCTGGGAACTGCTGTTATTAAGACATCCGGGCTCCTCCTAGCGCACCACCTTCGGGTATATTCTCTATTTAGTGTGGCCGCGGGTGGACGGGAAAACCCGTCCCGTCCACCCGCGGCCACACTCAGGGCGGCATGAGGCGCTGGGAAGCGCGCCTCCGCTGCCCGGTTCGTCGGCGGCGAATTGGGTCTTCTGGGCTTCGCGCCACTCGCGTACTTCTTCGGGCAGGGGCCGACTGCCGCTAACCGCCCGGAACTCAGTCGTCCGCCGACATACTTCGGCGCCGCCTCCAAATCCCACGAGGGAGTTCCGGCCAACGCGCACGCTGCCTCCGTCGACACGGTGCGGTAACCACGTATGGCTCTAACCGTCAATACCCTCTGCTCTATTTTGGCTGGTCAGAGCCGCTGCCCACACCGGTGCGCCGTACAGTGCCATTGACCGGACAACCCCGTGTACAGCCGTTTCGTTGCTACGCTAGGTCCACCCAGATTAGGCAAAAGTCGCCCAAGGGCAGACGCAGCGCCGACCAACTTGAAACAAAACCTATACCAACCCTAAAAATAAGGCCTACCAATGAGTACTCTGTTAACAATATTTAAAAAACGAATCAAACATGAAAAAAATTGAAAATGGTCAAATAAAGAATCTAAACCTTTACTAGTCGAATATTTCCTTACAAAATCTGCCTAAGTCGAATACCTCCGCTAGTCTAAAACCCTATAACTCGAATTATTTGGCGTTTCCCTTGAAGTTCGACTTACAGACTTTCTACTATGTAAAGTTCTATTTATATAGGTAAATATATTATATTAATAAATCTAAGTAAATATTTATTATTCTACTTAATTACCAAATTGTACCTGAATATAATTTACATGATAAAGATAAGGTGATTTTATTAAAATTAATATCATACAAGAATAAAAAATTAAATTTTTAAAAAGTAAGTACCTAGCAACAATTGTTTGGTAATTCAAAAGAAGAACACAAATAACAAATAGCAGTAGAAACTTTTTCAATGTTAATGAACATGGATAAAATAATTCCCTTCAGAGGAAACAAACACTTCTTTTTTTTTAGTTCGGAATGCCCCTCAGGTATTCCCCACTGGACGGACGGTGTGGGGATTATGTTTAGAGATGTGACGGTCTGGAATATTGCTAAACTCACTCACTCAACTGTTGAATCGGTTTGAAAATTCGTGCGAGAGAGAGAGAGATGAGTTAACCAGCGAATGTAACATACGAAAGTGATGTGCAACATGATTCGATGGGATCGATAGATATAACCTGATCGCTGAAGGAGACGGCGAAGTTCACGCACTCTCTCTCCGTACCATGGCGGGAATCATGTTACCGAGAGAGAGAATTCCCATTCCGATGGCCGCCACGAGGCCACGCCTCTGCTCCACCCACGCCGAGCATTCTGCCAGCGTGTGAAGTGCTGTGTCCAGGGCCCGGCCATCGCAGTGGTGGCTTAGGCGTGGACTCTTGGCGGATCAGACACAGGTGATCCCCGAAGCATCCTTTCCCAGTGGTCACCTGCGTCATGCTACATCTAGAATTTATATTGCGTAATTGCCACTACTTCTTTGCTTTCATTTTCTGATACCTACGAAGATTGAGTATAGACTCAATCTTCGTAGGTATCAGAAAATGAAAGCAAAGAAGTAGTGGCAATGGCGTGTACACAAAAATGCAGTTTCTACAACTGCAGTTGTAGTGGAGACTCTATAAATTGTGGTCATAGACCAGGTAATAGTCCAGTCAACGGTACTATACGGTGCCACGGTGTGGGCGGAAGCT